TTGCGGATCAACTTGAGTACTACTCTGAAGCGGCTTTTACAGGGAATGCTGGGTAATCTTCCTGTCCTGTCGGATCCAAATCGCATCAGTATAGAGGAGGATCCAACTTCTATTAAAGTCTATGGGCACAAGGCGGATAGAAGGTGGAGCTCTCATTGACTAACATGGGATTTCACAGGTCATGTGACTTGCAGAGTGACTTTGCTGGGCGACTTGAGTACTACTCTGAAGCGACTCTCAGGGAATGCTGGGTAATCTTCCTGTCACGTCGGATCCAAATCGCATCAATATAAATGACGATCCGACCTGGATGACTTCTATTAAAGTCTATGGGCACAAGGCGGTTAGAATGCGGAGCTCTCATTGACTACCATGGGATTTCACAGGTCATGTGACGGGGGGGGGTCGGATCCCAAGTCGCGGCAGCGTGCACAGAGCGGTTGTCATTGGTTGTCAGAGGCGCCACCTGCGACTTTAGTGTCCCGCGTCACATGACACGTCACACGTGAATGGAGCTGAATGTCTGATTTGGTGAAGATCACAAAACTTTGTATACTTTGTTTCCATTTTTTTCCCCGTCATGTCCTAGATGATCCATCATCCTCCATGTATGGTGGGGGAGGGGGGATTGATGTATGGGGAGGGGGGATTGATGTGTGGTGGGGGGAGGGGGGATTGATGTATGGTGGGGGGAGGGGGGATTGATGTATGGTGGGGGGAGGGGGGATTGATGTATGGTGGGGGGAGGGGGGGTGACTGATGTATGGTGGGGGGAGGATTGATGTATGGTGGGGGGAGGGGGGGATTGATGTATGGTGGGGGGAGGGGGGGATTGATGTATGGTGGGGGAAGGGGGATTGATGTATGGTGGGGGAGGGGGGATTGATGTTATGGCGGGGGGAGGGGGGATTGATGTATGGCGGGGGGAGGGGGGACTGATGTATGGTGGGGGAGGGGGGACTGATGTATGGCGGGGGGAGGGGGGACTGATGTATGGCGGGGGAATGGGGGATTGCTGTATGGCGGGGGGCAGGGGGGGGACTGATGTATGGTGGGGGGAGGGGGGGACTGATGTATGGTGGGGGGAGGGGGGACTGATGTATGGTGGGGGGAGGGGGGACTGATGTATGGTGGGGGGAGGGTGGACTTGTGTATGGTGGGGGAGGGGGGACTGATGTATGGTGGGGGGGAGGGGAGATTGTCCTCAGTAAAGGGTTAAAAAAAAAAAGCTCTGGCCTAGTCTGTCCGGAGGGCCATTGTGTGAGACAGACGCTGGGGGGGGAGATAATTAAACTGGGTCACGGCATCAATACTACATCTGTCAGCAGAGACGCAGCGGAAGAGCACCATGACGTCCCCGAATCCGCTCTATATATCCATCTCCTTTACAATCCCGACATTCACTACAGTATGGCGGACAGATGTTCCCATTTATGACCGACGATAGATAAAGCTTTACTCTCATTGGATAATAATTTTTTTTCTCATTTTAAAGGAAAATTCCACCTTTTGCAAAAATTATATATTATTATTATAATTGTATCTTTTATTATTATGTACATTATTATTTATACTTATTATTAATAAAAAATTTTATCTTTTTATTTTATTATTATTAATAAAAAATATATAAAAATATACATAAAAAAATACATAAAGATAAAAAATTATTAAAAAATAATAAAATAAAAAAAGATAAAATTATTATTATTATTAATAATCTTTTTTTATTTTATTATTAATAATAAAAATTAAATTATTAATATAAATAATATTTTATTTCAGGTACTTTATACAGCACCGTCAATTTTTTTACGTAGCGCTTTACATACATATATATTGTACAATCACATCATTCCCCGCCCCCCGAGGAGCGTACAATCTAGGATCCATTTAGCCATAAATAATATTATAATAATAATATACATAACAAAATAAAAAAGATAAAATTGTTGTTATTAACAATAATGTTTTTTTTTATTAATAATAAAAATACAATTATTAATAATAATATACATAATAAAATAATACAAATAAAATTATTAACAATATACATAAAATAAAAAAAGATAAAAATAATAATAATATACATAATAATAATACAGGTGTCCCTCGGGTTACGAACGTCTCAGTTAACCGTAATTTTTGGTTCACGACTGAAAATCCATAAATAATGGCTCAGTTTTACACATTATTTTTTTTTTAGCAATACGAACGGATTAATTATGTTTTCAATGTACAGTCAGGTCCATAAATATTGGGACATGGACACAATTCTAACATTTTTGGCTCTATACACCACAATGGATTTGAAATGACACAAACAAGATGTGCTTTAACTGCAGACTGTCAGCTTTAATTTGAGGGTATTTACATCCAAATCAGGTGAACGGTGTAGGAATTACAACAGTTTGCATATGTGCCTCCCACTTGTTAAGGGACCAAAAGTAATGGGACAGAATAATAATCATAAATCAAACTTTCACTTTTTAATACTTGGTTACAAATCCTTTGCAGTCAATGACAGCCTGAAGTGTGGAACGCATAGACATCAGCAGACGCTGGGTGTCATCCCTGGTGATGCTCTGCCAGGCCTTTACTGCAACTGTCTTCAGTTCCTGCTTGTTCTTGGGGCATTTTCCCTTCAGTTTTGTCTTCAGCAAGTGAAATGCTCAATCGGATTCACGTCAGGTGATGGACTTGGCCATTGCAGAACATTCCACTTCTTTGGTTGCTTTTGCAGTCTCTGCTTTGGGTCATTGTCCATCTGCACTGTGAAGCGTCCAATGAGTTGTGAAGCATTTGGCTGAATATGAGCCGATAATATTCCCGAAACACTTCACAATTCATCCGGCTGCTTCTGTCAGCCGTCACATCATCAATAAATACAAGAGAAGCAGTTCCATTGGCAGCCATACATGCCCACGCCATGACACTACCACCACCATGATCACTGATGAGGTGGTATGCTGAGGACCATGAGCAGTTCCTTCTCCATACTCTTCTCTTCCCATCACTCTGGTACAAGTTGATGTCGGTCTCATCTGTCCATAGGATGTTGTTCCAGAACTGTGAAGGCTTTTTTACATGTCGTTTGGCAAACTCTAATCTGGCCTTCCTGTGTTTGAGGCTCCCCAATGGTTTCCATCTTGTGGTGAACCCTCTGTATTCACTCTGGTGAAGTCTTCTCCTGATTGGTGACTTTGACACACATACACCTACCTCCTGGAGGGTGTTCTTGATCCGGCCAACTGTTGTGAAGGGTGTTTTCTTCACCAGGGAAAGAATTCTTCGCTCATCCACCACAGTTGTTTTTTGTGGTCTTCCGGGTCTTTTGGTGTTGCTGAGCTCACCGGTGCGTTCCTTCTTTTTAAGAATGTTCCAAGCAGTTGTTTTGGCCACGCCTCATGTTTTTGCTATCTCTCTGATGGGTTTGTTTTGTTTTTTTCAGCCTAATGATGGCTTCACTGATAGTGACAGCTCTTTGGATCTCATCTTGAGAGTTGACAGCAACAGATTCCAAATGCAAATAGCACACTTGAAATGAACTCTGGACCTTTTATCTGCTCATTGTAATTGGCATAATGAGGGAATAACACACACCTGGCCATGGAACAGCTGAGAAGCCAATTGTCCCATTACTTTTGGCCCCCTAACAAGTGGGAGGCACATATGCAAACTGTTGTAATTCCTACACCGTTCACCTGATTTGGCTGTAAATACCCTCAAATTAAAGCTGACAGTCTGCAGTTAAAGCACATCTTGTTTGTTTCATTTCAAATCCATTGTGGTGTATAGAGCCAAAAATGTTAGAATTGTGTCCATGTCCCAATATTTATGGACCTGACTGTATTTATGAATTCATTTTTAATCTCGTCCCTGTACAGTATTTGTGTCTTTAAAGTGCACTTTATAAAGAGATTTGAACAGATAAAATACTTTTTTCTTTTTTTTTTCTTTACTTTTTTCTGTCCTCCAGATTCATTGGCTTTCAATGCATTCCTATTGGAAACTGTGCTTCGGTTTACGAATTTTTTGCAATACGAAAGATCCCGCTGAACGAATTAAATTCGTAAACTGAGGGACGCCGGTGCTATACATTAAAAAAAAAAAAATGATTATTAATAATATAAATAAGGATTATAATAAGTGAACCCATATTTAAAAAAAAAAAAAAGGAAAGGGGATTTGATGTTTTGCAATGGAGCCTGCAGAGCGTTGCAGCTGTGACCCGTGATTGGCTGGCACATGCACAGGCTCCTCCTCTGGCTCCAGGTCTGTGCGCAGGTACGGACCTATCGCTCTAGGGCTGGAGGAGGTATTGCTGGGCTGCAGTGATGTCACCATATTTGTCCTCCAATAGGAGCTACGAGTCGCCTGCGGGGACTGATGGGACATGTAGTCTTCCATTCACAGGTTTGTGGGAACGGATCTGTAAATGGATGACGCAACAGTGTGGGCGGAGCCACACAGACACACCCATCAAAAAAGAAAAGAAAATCAAGAGGAGCCCTAATGGTTGTGGGTAGGGAGGTGGTTTGAGGTTTGGGGGGGGGGGGGGGGGGGGGACCATGGGGGTAACATGGAACAAGGTCAGAGAGGTGGACTTGGCCTTTAAAGCAAATCTTCAGTCTGGCCAGGCTCCGCCCTTCCATTCTGACATCACCATGTTCATGCAGGCACAGATACGCCCATGGGGCTCTGCCCAGCCATCAGGTCCTGGTACAGTCTGCACATGTGCAGTGGGCCTGTCCTCACACACGCAAAGCAGGGAAGGATTTGGACCGTTGCCAGTCACATGCTCAGATGGCCAGGAGACCGATGCAGGTGCCATTCTGCTGCAGCATTTCCGGAACCGAGCCCGACCGCACATCTCTGTACACAACAGCTAGAGAGCCGCAGGTTGCCTACCCCTGGGCTAGATGATGAAGGGTGTCCTCCAGCCAGGAAATGAGCTCTATCTGACTTGCTGCAGCTTCTAATGCACATTGTGAGGAGCACCTGTGCAAGACTGAAGGGGAGGAGGAGCCGGTACACCTGTGCAAGACTGAAGGGGAGGAGCCGGTACACCTGTGCAAGACTGAAGGGGAGGAGCCGGTACACCTGTGTAAGACTGGAGGGGAGGAGCCGGTACACCTGTGTAAGACTGGAGGGGAGGAGCCGGTACACCTGTGCAAGACTGGAGGGGGGAGGAGCCGGTACACCTGTGCAAGACTGGAGGGGAGGAGCCGGTACACCTGTGCAAGACTGGGGGGAGGAGCCGGTACACCTGTGCAAGACTGGAGGGGGGCGGAGCTGGTACACCTGTGCAAGAATGGAGGGGGAGTAGCCGGTTACACCTGTGCAAGACTGAAGGGGAAGAGCCGGTACACCTGTGCAAGACTGAAGGGGAGGAGCCGGTACAGCTGTGCAAGACTGAAGGGGAGGAGTCGGTACAGCTGTGCAAGACTGAAGGGGAGGAGCCGGTGGTACAGCTGTGCAAGACTGAAGGGGAGGAGCCGGTACAGCTGTGCAAGACTGAAGGGGAGGAGCCGGTACACCTGTGCAAGAGTGGAGGGGAGGAGCCGGTACACCTGTGCAAGAGTGGAGGGGAGGAGCCGGTACACCTGTGCAAGAGTGGAGGGGAGGAGCCGGTAAAACCTGTGCAAGACTGGAGGGGAGGAGCCGGTACACCTGTGCAAGACTGAAGGGGAGGAAAATTGCAAAGACGGGGGGGGGTTTCTAGGGATAGCGGAGTTCCCCTTTAAGCCTGGGTGTTTAGTAGCGACCTTAGCGGGCCCTGTCTGGGATATATAGGGGGGAGGGGTGGAAAGTTTCCTCCCGGTACACCAGTGTTTGGAAAGGTTGATGCGTCGGCGTTTTGGGCCGGAACGCTGGCCGCTCTCCAGGAATCACAATCATTTTTTGCGGCCGAACATCAGGATTTCGTTGAGAAGCTAAAAATAGAGGAAAGAAAACACGGCGTTCAGCCGGCGGTGACTGCGCTGACTTCTGGGAAACGGCTCTCTGTGGCATCTCACGTCAGGGACTTCCAGGGTCGCGGTGATCTCAGGCGCGGGGGGGCGTGGCCGGCGGATTATCGCTGGGAGATGGCGACTAATTACGTGTTTGAGGTCAGACAACATGAAAGCTGTAGGTTGCTGCACTACATCTCCCAGCATGACCGGCCACCTGTCACATGTCGTGTGTAGTAATGGGGGGGAGGGGAATCCTGAGAGATGCACAGAGATACAATGTCTCCATTTCTTGATGTAACTAAATGAATATTTGACATTCATGAAATCTTGTTAAAATAACCAAAAAAAAAAGAGAAACTTTTTTCATCCGACGCGTTTCTTGGGACCGGCTTCCCTTCCTCGGGGTTCAGGACGGTCCTACAGATCCCGGAGAAGAGTGGACTCTTCAGTACTAGAGGTTCCCCACACCATGGCCTCCCCTCTCCCGGGCCTCCCCCCTCCCCCTTTCTGGGAGGGGGAGCGCTATTTGACTGGCTGCAGCTTCTAATGCACATTGTGAGAAGCTCCCAGTGTGCAGTGACATCAGAGGAAGTAATTCCAGTCCAGGGGGAGAAGCCAGTACACCTGTGCAAGACTGAAGGGGAGGAGCCGGTACACCTGTGCAAGACTGAAGGGGAGGAGCCGGTACACAAAACTGTGCAAGACTGAGGGGGGAGGAGCCGGTACACCTGTGCAAGACTGAGGGGGGAGGAGCCGGTACACCTGTGCAAGACTGAGGGGGGAGGAGCCGGTACACCTGTGCAAGACTGAGGGGGGGGAGGAGCCGGTACACCTGTGCAAGACTGAGGGGGAGGAGCCGGGACACCTGTGCAAGACTGAGGGGGGAGGAGCCGGTGCACCTGTGCAAGACTGAGGGGGGGAGGAGCCGGTACACCTGTGCAAGACTGAGGGGGGAGGAGCCGGTACACCTGTGCAACTGAGGGGGAGGAGAGCCTGTACACCCGTGCAAGACTGGGGGGGAGGAGCCGGTACACCTGTGCAAGACTGGAAGGAGCCGGTACACCCCGTGCAAGACTGGGGGGAGGAGCCGGTACACCCGTAGGGGGGAGGAGCCGGGTACACCCGTGCAAGACTGAGGGGGGGGGAGCCGGTACACCCGTGCAAGACTGAGGGGGGAGGAGCCGGTACAACCCGTGCAAGACTGAGGGGGGGAGGAGCCGGTACACCCGTGCAAGACTGAGGGGGGAGGAGCCGGTACACCCGTGCAAGACTGAGGGGGGAGGAGCCGGTACACCCGTGCAAGACCTGAGGGGGGAGGAGCCGGTACACCCCGTGCAAGACTGAGGGGGGAGGAGGTAACACCTGTGCAGACTGAGGGGGGGAGGAGCCTGTACACCCTGTGCAAGACAGGTGTAGCAGGGAGAGGATTTAGCACACAGAAGGAGAAGTTGCCCTTGTCTGGGGGGAGGGGGGGGGGGGGGGGGCACTGCAAGTTTTTTGTAGATTGAGCTATAAATGGAATATTTGATATAATTATTCGGTTGGATTGTGGAATGTGGGGGTCTCGCACCCCCCTCCCCGCCTGTCATCACCAACAATGCTGACACTGAGGAGCTGTGAATAGATTGGGGGGAGGGGGGCAGCTCTCCACTGGGATTACTAATTGCAGTTGGCCTACAAAGCAGCCAGGGGTGGGGGGGTCAATAGAGAGCCTGGGGGGGGGGGGGGGGGGGGTTATTGTCATGGAGAGTGTGCAGGGGGGGGGATGTCCTCCATACAGATCAGGAGCATTGTGTGTGTCTGTGCTGCATGGTGGTCAGAGTCCATGATGATTGGGGGAGGGATTCCCCCGCATGGCGGTCAGAGGGACTCCCGGCGGCTCCTGGGTGCAGAGTGTCTGGATTGGAGGTCGCAGTAGCGATGTTTATATTTCTAGAGCTCGTAAATATCTGGAGACATTTGTATCTCTTTGTAGTTCGATGAATAAATATTCGGCTTCATGTTCAGCATTGCACTGCAGACCGCAATGTTTACTGAAGGCTTTTCCTTTTTTTTTTCTTTTTTCTGGCCAATGAGCCCGAGTTCACGTATGTGCTGTGCGGTACATCGCGTGTGATTCAAGAGCCGCGGCGCATTCTGTGCAGATCACGTGATTTGTGTGCGGTGCGATCAGAGGCAGACATTATGTATGTAAATCGCACCAAAGACACGCAGGACCCTTTTTTTGGGTTGACACTAGAATCGGATCGCACGGGTATTCACACCTATGAGATCCGATTCTGCACATCACACTGCGTTTTTGCGGACTGATTTTTGGAGTGTTGTTAACATTCACACCTGCAGCGGTTCGCATGAACGGGGGGGGGGGGCGATTCTGATGTGTTGCAGAAATCGCACAGAAAACGCTGAGAATTCCGCACCGCAGTAGTGTGAACCCGGGGTGACGTCATGACGCAGACATCAGTATGAACCCGGGGTGACGTCATGACGCAGACATCAGTATGAACCCGGGGTGACGTCATGACGCAGACATCAGTGTGAACCCGGGTGACAGTGCAAATCTTCCTGCCAAACTGCAATGTTGTAAAAGTTTAAAGTAAATCCAAAACTTTTGTTTTTGCAGCTTTATCCACTAGCCCCCCCCCATGGAAGGTTTTTCCCCCTTCATGACCCGGGTTGGTTGGTAGGTTAGTTATTCGGTCCAGTTGGTTGGTAGGTTGATTGTTTGGTCGGTTGGTTGGTAGGTTGATTGTTTGGTCGGTTGGTTGGTAGGTTGGTTATTCGGTCGGTTGGTTGGTAGGTTGGTTATTAGGGTTGGTTGGTTGTGTAGGTTGGTTATTCGGTCGGTTGGTTGGTAGGTTGGTTATTCGGTCGGTTGGTTGGTAGGTTGGTTATTCGGTCGGTTGGTTGGTAGGTTGGTTATTCGGTCGGTTGGTTGGTAGGTTGGGTTATTCGGTCAGTTGGTTGGTAGGTTGGTTGTTTGGTCGGTTGGTTGGTTAATCAGTCGGTTGGTTGTTTTAGGTTGGTTATTTCGGTCGGTCAGTTGGTTAATCAGTCGGTTTGGTTGGTTATTCAGTTGGTAGGTTGGTTACTCGGTCGGTTGGTTGGTAGGTTGGTTATTTGGTTGGTAGGTTGGTTAATCGGTTGGTAGGTTGGTTTATTCAGGTCGGTCGGTTGGTTGGTCGGTTGGTTGGTTATCGGTTCGGTTGGTTGGTTGGTTGGGTTGGTTGGTTATTTGGTTGGTTGGTTATTTGGTTGGTAGGTTATTTATTCAGTTGGAATTTTGGTTATTCGGTCAGCGGTTTGTTGGTCGGTTATTATCGGTTCGGTCGGTTGGTTGGTAGGTTGTTTATTCGGTCAGTTGGTTGGTAGGTTGGTTGTTTGGTCGGTTGGTTGGTTAATTCAGTCGGTGGTTGGTAGGTTGGTTATTCGGTTGTTGGTTGGTAGGTTGGTTGTTTTGGTCGGTTGGTTGGTTAATCAGTCGGTTGGTTGGTTGGTTGGTTATTCGGTCGGTCAGTTGGTTAATCAGTCGGTTGGTTGGTTATTCAGTTGGTAGGTTGGTTACTCGGGGGTCGGTTGGTTGGTAGGTTGGTTATTTTGTTGGTAGGTTGGTTAATCGGTTGGTAGGTTGGTTGGTTGGTTGGTTATTCGGTTTGGTTGGTAGGTTGGTTATTCGGTCGGTTGGTTGGTTGGTTGGTTGGTTCGGTTGGTTGGTTTGTTAGGGTTGGTAGGTTGGTTATTTATTCAGTTGGAATTTTGGTTATTCGGTCAGCCGGTTTGTTTGGTCGGTTATTCGGTCGGTCGGTTGTTGGTTTATTGTTTATTCGGTTGGTCGGTTTGTTGGTTCGTTGGTAGGTTGGTGGAGGAAGCGCGGGTGATGTTCATTTTCGGAACGTTTCCTTCATTCACTGGAATCCCCATACAGAGCGCAGCGCCCGGGATCGATCCGTCAGACTCTGATACATTGTTTCATTCCTCCTGTTTATAGAATGGAGGGGGGGAGGGGGGGGGTACGGAGGGGGGGGGGGGGGGGTACGGAACGTTTTATATAAATAAAAGATAATAATATAATAGCAGAGTGCTCCAAGGACAGGGAGCGGGGGGAGGGGCCGGCCTGGGATAATATTTGGGTTTTCTACCCGGCGAGGGCCGATTCTCCAGCCTGGCTTGCATATTAATCAGTGAATGAAAGGGCTGGTGGGGCCGGGGAGGGGGCCGTGGGGGGGGGGTCTGTCCTTCGGAGGTGATATCGCCATTCTCTTCTATTAATAAAGCTCCGGCTCCATACACAGCGCCCAGATAATAGAGGAGACAAAACCGTACGAGGCGCGGCGGGCAGAGCGTGGGACAGCGCAGAGAGGTCTCCGACAAGGAACCGCCGCCCATGTCAATGAAGCGATGGGGGGGAACCAAACTCCCAGAATTCTCTGCAGACCCCCCCAACCACACTCCCAGAATTCTCTGCAGACCCCCCCCCCCCCCAACCACACTCCCAGAATTCTCTGCAGACCCCCCAACCACACTCCCAGAATTCTCTGCAGACCCCCCCCCCCAACCACACTCCCAGAATTCTCTGCAGACCC